TGTACATGTACATGTATGTGCACATGTACATGTGGGGAAGAGACAAGGAAAGAGGAGTAGGAGAAAGTAATTCATGTAACCTTATGTATATGTACATGTAAATGTATGAATATCTTTAATTATTAGTAGTACCTCAGATGGGTCCAGGTTCATTTTAGTAGGGCCCCCTCCCCACCGTTGACCAGTGTCCCATGACCCTTGAGTGTGGAGCTCACGGGCTCTATCATGATCACTCTTCACATAACGAAGGTGAGACATTAGCTTCTTGTCCAGAGTCTGGAGTAGAAACCTTTCACTGACGCTAGTGAACTGCCCAAGGAGAGAAGCAGAGAGACAGCGTACCTGAAGGGATCCATCAGTTACCATACCACACGTCTTTATGAATGCATCATCCTCTAATGATAGAGTAACACTGGGGTCCTTTGAATGAGGGATGGTACTATAAGAGGAGAGATAGAGGGAGAGCGAGAGGGAGAGGGAGAGAAAGAGGGGAGAAAGGGAGGGAGGGAGAATAAAAGGGTAGGAGAGAAGACAAAAAAGATTTTCAGATGAGAGAAAATAAAAGGAAATTACAGAGAGAAAGAGAGAGAGTGTACAAAGAAAGGAGTGAAAAAATAGAATTCATTATTAACATCAAATAGTAAAAATACATAAATACATGTACATTTACATGTAGAAACATTACTGTATATTACATGCATAGTTATGTACGTCCACAACATTGATGTACACATATATGTAAATTGTAATGAGTTATCAGTTATGTACATGTAATTCATTACACATGTGTAAGATAACATACCATACCTTTCCTTCAAAGAGAGTCCTAATGAGTGAACTAGCTTGATAGAAATGTAGCGAACAGATTCATCATCATCATTCAATAACTCACACGCCTTATTGTATATAGACACACCAATGGACACACCCTCTTCCATCATCTGTAACTATAAAAGCATAATTATACAATGTACATGTACATGTATAAATGTACTGATATTATTAATAAATATTAGTACTTAGTACATAATATTAGTACATATTCATATCACATATTAGTGCATATAAAGGTACAATTGAGAAATGGTATACATGTATGTACATGTACAATTAAGAAGAGAGACAGAGATACAGAGACAAGTACATGTACATGTACATGCGTAGATGGAAGTAGAAATTAAGAGGCAAAAGGAGAGGGAATATGTATATGTACATGTATTGTGGAGAGTGGGTATTATTATATTAAGCAAATGTACATGTATTTGTACTTACTAGTGCTTTCATTGCTTCTCTACGGACTCTTGGGTCAATGTCATTACAAAACTCAGTAATCAAGAGCAACAGAGCTTCATGACTGGGGGCCCTGTGGCTTAAGCGACCAATCAGATTCAAGCACTCCATCCGGAGGGTATGACTAGGAGAATATACAACCTAACAATAATAATATAATATCAATTTTTTTAATAATAATTAAATTCACACGTACTGTACCTCAACAGTTTCTTTAAGACATTGAGTAACAAACTAATAAAATAAAATATAAGAGGTATGACACTAATTAATATACATGCACATCTACATGTATAACAATATCCATTATCTTTACCTCTGATGAAAATTTCTTGGCCACTTTCACCCAACACTTTAACACTAGTGCCTTGACATCACTGGAGGCTAATTAATATTCATAACATTAATCAATTAATAATTACATTAATTAATTAACCACAAACTTACGATGATCAATGAGTGATGCTATTTGACTTTGCTGGTTGCGTGAGAGTGACGTGACTAGCGGAAGAACCCCACAAAGCAAGTTAACAAGGACGCTACATATTTCAATATTACTCTGACGAGTTTTCCATATTCGGTTAAATAGAGTCAAGGCTTCATCTAATGAAGATACTATACAAGAGTAGG